CCCTGGTCGGTAATAAAAAAAAAAAACAAGTAGCGAGACGTAAACGCGAGAGAGTTTCTTTCTCGGCTTCCAGCATTGACTCACTGGATCAAAATGCGACCGAGAGCCATGTAAAGTCAGCGTTCCCGCAAAAGGATCAAATCGATGGGAGATCGAGAAGTCTGAAGAGAAGAGACCGGCTCCTCCTCCCCTCGATCGGGCAAGATTTTACGCGAATCACCCGGTAGAATCGAAATCGAACGTGAACCGTGCTGGTTTCTCTTCTCGAAGGGTCGACTCATTCTTCGAGAATGTGATTTAAGTCTGCATAAAAGACGACGACCGTGCAGAATTACAAGAGGCATGCAGTTCCGCTCGTCGATATACGCCGAGGAACTTTCCTCTCTTGTCACCGCGCGAGCGGAATACCGAACGATCGGTTATCGCGTTCGAACGGTCAAGGGAGCAGCCGTCCCTTTTCAAGAATCCCAAAAGGGGAAAGATTTTCCTGAAAAATAAAGCGATTCCCTCCAGACATATCCGATTCCTTTCTATTTTCCCTTATACCTTTTAACGCACCGACCGCAGATTTCAACGGACCGAAAATCTATTCTCGGTCTGGCTACGCAAGAAAAACGAACAGACGATGTCCGAGCGACCGTCGACGATATTTGTTCGCATTTAACGGGCAATTAAGCCTCGTTCGTTCGGAGTCGGAGCAAGAAATCGCGGTTGGACGAACGCAATTCTCGCGACCCAAGGATCATCGGGCGCAACGAGCACCGGTAGCTACTCTCGCCTCGTAAGAAGATACTTTTCTGTCATTTCGAGCGGTGCAGAGGGAACAGGGTAGCCTACATTTTTCACCGGAGCATATACACCGTTTTTCTACGTTCCTCGGCTTCGTGGAAAAAAGGTTTCGTAATTGTAACCGCGGTAACGAAGCGTTCAAGTTTATTCTTTCGCATCGCGAGTGCTCTTTCATACTTTTCTCAAAACGATTCTTGACAGCTATTCAAGTTTTAACGATCGATTTGCAACTATTGCACGATCAACGGTAAACCGGCTTGTGAAAGGGTTAATAAAAGCTTATCGTTGATAATTACCGATCTCCTTTTCGATTCATAAAATCAGCAATTGAACGACTTTAAAGAATCGAGAGATATTAATGTTCGAATAACGCGGACAGAGGATAGAAAGGCGAGAGACAGGCAAGACTTTATACGTGTGGGACGTGCACCACACCCGATCCGGAATATTTTATTCTTTTTTCTCTTCGTCTCCGAGTTATTACCGCAATCGTCGAGTGTCGAGACTCGTTTCAACCCTCGCCTGATTAGCCGAACACTCAACGACACTCGAACTTTAACGGGTTATTTTTACGCCGCACCTTTCGAACGGCCGCAATTATACGCTCCCGAGGGTATTTCGGAAGCCTCTAATTTTTTCCCGGAATCCGTCCGCGATTTCAACGTTCCGCGAATCACCGAGCGATAAATCCATCGTTATTTTTCGATTCGCGGTTCGACGCGGATTTACGAGAAAGATCGAGATCGAGAAAGAAACTATCTCGACGGATATAAATCGCGAGGAGAGAGAAACACGTTGAAGAATCAAAGGCATCCGTAACGATCCCGCCGGCTAATTGATATAATTGTCCTCGAACGATTCGCGATTATCAGTGTACCACTGTTAACCCTTTCGCTGCTGGACACGATTGATAGGACACGGTACGGATCGAGGGATTAAATTCCACGAAGCTCTTTTTTAAAACGGTGGCAAACGATAGCAGCTCTCGGTGCACGCGCGTGCTTTTCGTATGCAAGTGTGACTGCTGCCTAATACGTGCCACCACGGCACATACTAATTAGCTGTGCGAGCGAAACGCGCCGTGAATACGACTCCACGTGGAGGGACAAACATTAGATACGAGCCGCACCACTTGAGGTTAGGTCGAGGCTAAAAGCTCCGACTAGAGAACCACTTCCTGCTGAATTATTTTACAATCAATCCGTGCTTACCGAAGAAAAGATATCTTTTACTTCCGATACCGATTCGCTAAATTCCGAAGGGGTTAAAGGCGAGGGTTCGAAGAATTGGACGAGCCAAATTACCCCTTGAAAGAGTCAGAAATTGAAGAAGCATCATCCGATCGTCCCTCAGGGTAACCGGGCACAGTTACAGTTGTCTGCAAATAAACGAGGGGCAAGTGCAGAGTAGAAACGTGGTATGCGCAGCGTGCAATAAAAGCCTGGAGTCGGCGCAAAGTCACGTACAGGTACTAAACCGGTCCCTATACACAGTCTGGAACTAATCGACCGATCTTGGTCTCCGCCAGGCTTTCCTACGAACCGTAAAACTGTCATATCTGTCTGAACGCGAATACGAAATTCGCACGAGTTTACGACACGTGTACGGAAAGCGCAAACAATGCGATTCAAGCCTGACCGATAGGATTGCGGAACTTAACCCTTCGCGTTACGCATAATCGCGAAAGAAATTATTAGACGAGTTAAAACGATTTTGATGAGTTTACCCCGCTCTCCTGTCCTCCGTATTGATTCCAGTAACCAGGCGATGGTACCGAGGAAACGATCGGCTGTAACATCGAACCGTTTCCGGTCAAACTGCTCGGACTTGAGGCTTGAAATCGATCACCGGTTACGTTCTGCATCTGATTCGAACTGTCTCTTAACTGAACAACGTTGCACGTTAACGCGGAACCATTAGAAGTTAACTGAGAACGATTACAGACGATCAGCTGCAAAGGAGAGGTACCGTGTCTTCCGGCTCCGATTTGCATCTGTCGCGACTTCTGTACGCTCCCGATCTGAGTGTACTTAGCTTTCGAGTGTTCACACGCGTGGATGGACTTTGTCTCGATCCCAAAGTCGCTCAGCTTGAAGTTCTGCTGATTCATCTTGAAGTCCGCGTTGTTCTTGAAACTTCGATCCATGTTTGCCGACTTTCCGCGTTCTACGCGAGTCGAGTTTTCCGCGAAATCGGGTCAACGGGGCAGGATGGTTTCCGGTACGGTATCTATATCAAATCCGCCAACACTCGTTCGATATTCTACCTAAGAACGTAAAGTGCAGCTCGTTCGTAGATGACGCGATTCGGTGCATCCCGGTTGCTGATCGTCGTCGACTGCGATTCGATCGGTGACACGGGCTCGACGGTCGAGCGATCGCTCGAAGCCTTGACACGAATTCGACATCGTTGATCCTCTTCGGAGTCCTGCCTAGATCCCGCTTTGAACGTTTTCCAAGAGTACGGTCAACGAAACTCGGCTTCGTCCAAGAATATCGAGGAAAAATTCTAACGAGACGAATGATATTCTCTCGTCCCTCTCGGTCTTCCTCGTTACGCGGTTAAATTCGCACGCGTAACAAGATTCATTAATCAACGAACCCGCGCGCGTCTTCTCGGCCTCCTTTAATTCGAATTCCTCGAATCGTTCGAGTCTTTCGTCGAAGCGGAGGCCGCGAACCCGGCGAGACTCCGCGCCGCTCCGAAACACAGCCCCGACTATTTTTGAACAATGCGTTCTCGCAACACTGCCGCGTTTCTGCTCGCGTTTCCCGCACGAGACTTTCACGCGCGTTTAAAAACACGCCCGTTGTAATTGAAACGTTCCGAGGATTCTGTTTTCACGAAAATCAGACGCGAACTTCGACGCGAAGAATTTCAAAGTGGTAGATTGTTGCGAGGGAAAACAATCGCGAGAGGATTAGAAGGCGAACGACGGGCTGCTGGTCAGCCAGTGGAGAGACGACTGGTTTTGTTACTCATAAGCCATACGAGCCACGGGGAGCCTGGGGTCCAGCAGCAAAACCCCTCCACGATGGCAAGAGCGTGCTGCTGGACGCGGCCCTCTCTCGTGCTCCTCCGCTTCTACGTTCCACTCGTCTCGTTCGTTCGTTCGTTGCACTTCGCTATGTACGCCGCGCCGCCAAGTTTCTCCAAGTTCGCGGAACATCGATTCGCTCGCACGCTTTTCTTCCCTATCCGTTCATCGGAAAAATCCATCGATCGAACTTTGAACGGTACTCGCCGCCCGATCGATCATTACTCCAATTCCTGATTTCATGTAACACCACACTAGCAACGGGACAAGTGGCACACCGCTCCTCTTACTCGCGTTGCGTTCGAGTAATCGTACAGATAGTATCGTTTTTTCATTTTTTTTTTCATTCGAAGAGCGCGCGACAAGGCTTCCTAGAAGTCAGCGAACGGAGCGAGTGGGTGGTCGCGCGCGAGTATCACCAAAGCGTTTCACTCTCGTCCCGTCTCGTTCTTTTCCAACAACCGAGAGATCAACATAACAGACGTTCCAGTTTGTCCCGGGGAGAGAAAAGGGACTTGTGCCGCTCCCATGGCGAGATTTATTCCGAGTACGCGCTGGGCATCGTCAAAAAGAGAAGTGTATATTGATTCATGGAGGCGGCTGTTGTTTTGCCGCCACTATCTCCAACTCTCTTCGACTCAACGTATTAATCGTGGTATCTTAATCGTTCGTTTCTTCCATTTTCTTATATTTTCCTGGGAGGAGGAGGTCGATTACCTCAACGCTTCGAATCTTCGCCGATTGGAAAGCGGAACTGGTTGAAACGTCAACGAGAACGAATTCGTCGGATTCGTTGGTATCTACTCTCGGAAAGATTTCCATTAACGAAACATTTTATTAGGGGAGCAGTCGATTCGAGAGTTCTCTCGGTGCACGCATCGTTGCAACGGGAGATGCAACGCGGTGCACAGCTACCAGAAATAGTTCATCGACAGAGCAGAGGGAGCTTTGGCACGGGGCGACGGAGCCGGCCGAGAGGAAGGAGAAAAGAGAGGAACGAGAGAAAATACGAGCGGGAGTTACGAGTTACGACGGAAAACGGTGGATTATGTGTGTTTAACCCCCCCACTTCCGAAAGGCACGGAGTTATGTTTGAGCACGAAAAGTAAACTTCGACTTGGTGGCGACGCGAGGCGCTTTTCTGAGGATTAGGAGGAGGCCGCCACTGGTGAATCGGCTCCTTTGTCCCGACTTCCGTGCTCCATGCGCCGGCCAATCGATTCTTCCCACTCGGCAACCACCGCCTTAACCTTCCTCCACGAAATCGTACAAAATACGAAAAAATCGAATAATCCGAGGTATCTATCGAACGATTCCATTAATCAAATTTTATTCCCGCCACGGTGTGCGTTCACCTCCCAATGTGTTATTCTGATTTCGAGATAAGCAACGAAACACTTGTAATATTTTAACATTTTGCGATTTGACAACAACTCTGGATCCACAAATTATTGATACGATTCACGTGTTACATTACACAGATCGTACGATTGAAAATTCATCGAAACACAATGGAAATGAAAATTGAAGCTTGAATTCCTCCCTGAGGGCGAGGAGCGGAGTACAGCTTCCGAGGAGTTAAACTGGAGGAAAAACTAGCCTGGCGGACGTGCAACAGGTAGGAAAGCGAATGCAGAGGCCAGTGCAAGTCCGAGCAGAGCGTGGAATATCGACGAAACGGAGGAGCCAGTCGAGGTTTCGCCTCGGCGGCCGAAAATATCGACGCGTATCGACCTTCCGCCGGCTAAAATCGTCCCTCTGTTTTCTTTCTTCTTTCCTCTACGATCGCGCCGAATATTTTGTCATTTTCGACCTACCAACGCTCCCGGCCCGATGATCCAGGAGTTTTCCAATCGCGATAACCTTGGTCCCCGCAACTGTCCAAACAGAATTTCAATACCCGATGATGACGCGTCGTTTGACGTACATTCTTTCGAGGAGAGAAAGAGCTTAAAAAAAAAAGAAAAGAAAAACAACGATGCGGAATCGGTAATATTGTTGCTTGTCAGCCGATAAAGCATCGAGAAGGAAGAATCGATCGCTTCGTTAAGATATAAAGCGGCGAACGATTTCGATTTCGATTTCGCGTGGAAAACGATAGACCATCGATGCGAGAAGGCGAATCGGTATGCGTAATCGAGCAACCAACGCGCTCCAGAATCGACTCGCGGTTGCTCAACGAGACTAGTAACCGTACCACGGCCCGCGAGCTACCTAATCGTACACCTTCACCTATATATTCGTCCATGTTTTGCGCGACAACGTACCCTTTCGAATCGCGATCGTTCGCAGAACCGTGTACGCGCGACTAACGCGGTTTTAACCCTTCACCGTGGTGAAATGCTCCTCTGGTTAATCAACGACGAAATCCAACGAACGGGGAACAGGTAGGAGCAGGAAGAGGAGAAAGCAAAGTGGAAGGAAACGGAGGACGAAGAAGGGCGTGTCGAGTCGATGCTTTCTACCGGTACTGTACCGGTTTTAAAGGACTCTGAAGGAGTATAAGAGAAACGCGATAGGAACGAGCGACACGGATCGCACACGCGTGCAGCACAGGTACGATTCGCGTACCTGAAAGGTGCGCGACAAGGACAATGGTCGAGAGAGAGAGACGACCGTGGTACGCGAGCTCAGGAATAGACGATAGAGGAAGAAAGAAGGAAAGAGAGAGAGAAGCAAGAGCTGAACGGATGCGAGGAACACGAGTGAAGGAGAAGAGAGGTGGACTAGCCACTGAAGAGCAAACTGGCCAGACTGCCTGCCGCCGTCGACAACGTAACACCGTTCTTCAGGCCAGAGACAGCACTTGGGTAGCTGCTGGTAGGGGAACGTGCGAGGAGAGCAATCGGACAAACAGCCAACCACTGGATGTAAAATAATATTCAACGAGAAAACGAGAGCGTACTGTTGAGTCTAACGAACATTCGACACTGATTATTTTCTAGAAACCCGCTGCTATCGACTCCGGGGTCGCGCTGAAAGTTTTGAGAATCTATCGGTGAACTGGATGGAAATAGGGTAAACATCTATTTTCATCGAGTTATTTATCCCTCGAACAACGAGGCCGAGTCATTGTTAACTCAATTTAGTTGTAAATTAATTTTAGATCATTTCTGTACTTAATTTGGGCTTCCACCTTTGTGAAGAGTTAACAGAGGAACAATGTAGAATCTATTTTGGAGCTAAATAAGATTCTAGAATATCACAGAGGAGGAAGGTTCGTGGTAATTTTGGATGCTGATCGGAGGAGACAACGGTGAATCGATTAACGGAACGTTCTCCTTTAGTTCGTTCACCGAAAGAATTAATCAGCGAACAGTAAATTGGCCGCAGACTGCCTGTCGCCTTTGGGATCGTGGTACAAGTGCCAATAAAAGTGGCCAGAGGAAGTAGGAGAAGAACGGCTGCTACTAAAACGATCCGACTGACGTGGACACCTTTTCTGACCTTATTCGACGAAATTAGAAATCTATTGGGAACGAATCGAAGACGTTTTCTGGAAAGTAACCTGCTGATCGGCTCGCTGGAAAACTCGTACGACGCCTGATTGCATAAACATCGATCATTCGCGCGTAACAATCGAAGCCACGCAACACCTTTGATAATATTTCATTTCCTATATTCTATTCTGTATCCCTGTATCAAGTTGATCGTTCTTAAATAAACTGATACGATATTGGCCATTGTAATAGTCTCATTGTATCCACCCAGCTCTAAATTAACCCTTTCTCCACAAACGACGCGTACCTACACTGTCGTGCTTATCGATTTTATATTATACTATCAATTCAAGATTATTGCGCTCACGTTTCTCGCATTGAATTGATCAAATTTTTCGCTTCGACTGTCTATTACCCCAGCCCTCGATTCTAACGGCTCTGAATTCGCCGATCTCGCGTGACACTCCGGAAGAAGAGATCTCAACGATAGATAAAAGCTGGCTCGGTCAATTAGAAGCCAATCTAGGAGTGTGCCATCGCTAACAGTGTTTCTGTACCGTTAACCCGTTCGCCGTGATTCGACGATCGGAAGCTTCTTGAATTCTAAGCGATCGAACAGTGAAAAGAACGTCGATCGGTTGTCTAAGAAGAAGCGGAGATTACAAAATCATAGTGTGAACCCGTGTATGGATCCGTGGTTGTAAAAGGATTAAGAAAAGAAAGACGGCTTTGTACTGGTTCTCAAGCCATCATTGACGTAATTATAAAAGTTTCATTTACGCGACTCCCCCGCGTAACCGATTTCCAGGCTGGATTTACAGGTCGTTCCGCGAGGCGCGGTCAAAGATTAACGATCCTACACTATGTAAACATATGAAATGATTGCGCATTGCGCGGCAGCTGAATAAAGAAACTGCACGGGAACGCGAATGACAAACATTTCCGCGGGGAACGTGGAAAATATCACGGCATATAACGAGGTAGGATAAGTAGGCGCGGTGCTAGAAAGTTGAATGAATTAAGTACGCCTGTTTATGATTGTTACCCGACTACCCACGTGCTTCCCTCGCTTACTTCGATTCCACGCAAGCTTCTTCATTGGGCCCTTCTTACCTTCTCCTACCGATCTTTTCCTTCGATGCAATCTTCTCTTTGTTCGACCCTCGCTCGACTAGTTCCCCGGACAGAGCACTGAAACGCGCGAACGTTCTCCATCGATTCCGTTGTTCAACGAATAGAACGCGGATCGGTTCGTCGCGGAAACGAAGGGCGAATCGAAACCATTTTCTGTATCGATTCTCGCTGCGTCGCTAAAGGGTCGAACAAAGGAATCGGAAAAAACTGAACGGGTCGAGAAATTCTTCGGAATCCGTGGAGCCGCGCGAGGAGGAAATGAAAATCGTTCTTTCCTTGCTCGATCACTTACCTGAAACAAAAGCAAGGAATTTTAATTAGCAAGCAGTCGTGAAAAAGAAAAGGCAGACAGGGTCGAGGGAATGTAATTGCGCGTAGGACAAGCTAATTACTAGCGGTGACGCTCAAGGTAACCGGAAGTAACGGGCGAGCGATTTTCATGGAAAGTCCTCGAGCATGGTCGCGTCGCTCTTCTCGAGGCACAAGGTGAATCGAGAGGCGAAAGAAATCATCTCGTGTCACCGTCGCCCTCCCGCAATCCCAAGGACGAACGATTATTATCTATTCCCGCAGATGGTTCTTTTTCCTAAACGAGGACTCGAGGTCGCGTTTCTAATCGCTTTGCTTTTATGTTGAAGAAAAGAATGCGTAAGTCTGTTGACAAGCGACGTTCGACGAGTGTTAAGCAATTAAAGTGTACTAAAATGCGTCGTTGAAGCAATAAACTATTAGCGTACAGAGAAGACAATCGATTACGATTGCAACAGCCACGTAATTACGAAAACTTGTACGTTGGGTACATCTTCCTGATCGTTTATTACTAACGTTGCGTTCCTTGTCTCAAGATTCGACGGAGAAGAGGAGGAGCTCGCCGAACGGAAATCGCGGTTGATTTTCAATCGACCGTACGATACTCGCGGTTAATCTAAAGCCACGTTCGCAGAATGCTTCCGCGATTCTCGGACACAGTCACCGGAAGTCCCCCACGCATCGGATGACGCACGAGTTCGATAACGTAGTAAAGGAGAGAGAGAGAAAGAGAGAGAGAGAGAAAAATCAAGTGAAGTAAAGAGAGAAAGATATAGAAGAGCAGAGTTTGGGAGGAGGAGTTTGTGATAACGAAGAGAGAACGTCGATTCAACGACACTCGTAAAGCCGGACATTTAACGATGGCGATTTAACTGTCGCAGCGTGGCGCGCGTACAATGTGCTCTCTCTGGCCGACCTGTACAATAATAATTATGGTCCTGGCTACGATTGTTTATGGAGGCGGCAGTTAAATTACCGCCGGTTGACGTTACACGGGCATTTCGGTGGCTGCTTTCCCTCGTCCCGTTGTAATTGTTATTTAACAGTGGTTTGTACCATCATCGTCGAGAGAACGATAAATTTCCCGGCCTGGCCAAACGAAGATTAACCATCGCGCGATCCGCGTTTTCATCAAAGGCTCGTTAAACTGCAATTAAAAGCGTCGCGCATCCACTTCGCGTTCTCGAAAAAACCTCTCCCTTTCATCGATCGAACAAAATTCGAAAGAAAAATTTCTAATAGGACAAGTTTAATCGCGAGCAACGAGGATCCTTGGGAATAATGTGCAGCAGTCTTTCCATGAAATTTCGTCTGCAGTTATACGACACTCTTGCTGACGGTTGACGTCATTCTTCGCGAACCGCCGCCGCACACCTCCGACACGTGACTTTTCGCGTCGCGACGGCAGGCGTACGCCTAAGTAGCGATCGTTACGTGGGAGGAAGGATAACGCTCGAAATATCTGACGGAAAGGCCATCGCGAACGATAATGCTTCCATTTCCTTGTCGCTGACTTGTTCGATTAGCAGGAACAATAAACACCCGACCGTTTCGATGAAATTTCTCGTTCGATCGTTGATTTAACCCTTTCACCGACACCGACTCGTGTAAAGGAACAATTGAAAAAAAATAGAACGTTTCGGGTAGTTTCGCGAGACGATCGACGATAGAGATATATCAATCGACGGGTTAAAATAGTCGGGATTTTTTCAGGAAAGGTGTTCTCCGCGACCGACACACAACATGCAAACAATCCTTGACAGCCGTGTCACTTGACACCGCGTCAAGTGTTTAATGAGAACGCACGGTCATCAGCCAACTATCTCCCGTCTATCGAGTTACGTGAGTCACGTGTTTGTAATCTGAAATAATGTCGGATAAAAATTCGTCGAACACCCAGAGATCGGTGTGCAACGGGAGACGAGAACAAGAGAAAAACGTGTCGACAGCCTCGTATCGCAAACCTCCGAGCCGAATTTCATTTACGACAAATAATTACGCTGAAATCCTTGCGTCTGACTAAATTTCGTTATTTCTACTGTGCCGCGTCGTCTTTTCTTTCGTTGATTCTATACCATCAAAATTCCAAAGAAATTCCATAGGACAACGGACGTGTCTCTTCTTCCCGTTGATCTGGCTCGTCAATTTCGAAGACGCGTTTACGTGGCTCCGGTAAGTGGCCAGGAGAGAAGAAAAAAAGACGAGGGTGAATTTCCGTTAGCTGAAGAAGAGGGAGTTAACGCGATTGGCCACGAGCTTCCGTGTAATTGGGAACAATTCATAAATTTATTGCGACAGACAACACACAAGAGAGTCTTCCCGGTAAAGCTCCCCTTTCTCGCTCACCCTCGTCGTTCAAGTTCCTCACCGTCGACCCTCCGTTACTCGGATACTCGTTTCCAGCGGCGGAGAGGGGTTGAATCGTCGACTCGAGTGGCTTCGAGGGGGGAAAATCGGTGCGGCAGGGGAGAGAAAGAGAGGACGGGACTTGTCGACCACCCTGTACCAACTTGGACACATTAAAAATTTAATAACTCGCCTCGGTCGAGTCGGTTTTGCTAAAACAGCTAGATAGCCACCGTGAGGGATCGGATGGATCTCTCTAAATCCACAAGTCTGCCAACATAGTGGGTGGCTTTCAATTTTCATCCCCTATCCAGTGTTGCTCCTCGAAATACCAATTTGTAACATTCCTGAACAGGTCGAAGACATTCGAAACAAATTTTCCTCCACTCTCTGTACCGCTAAATTGTTGCACGATTAAGCGCATCGGCGAATCCATTAACGCCTGCGACCTCGGTTTAATTAACTCCCCGCGCCACGGAGTTAAATACCATCCTGAACGCGTATGAATTTGTTACACTCAGAGATAACGGTCAGCTGTTTCATAAATTCGCCGATGCGTATCGTTCGATCTGTACGAAAGTACAAGGTTCGCGATCCTACTCGGAAACATGAATGATGATCAGCTCGTAAATAAGACATCCAAACGTTAAGATCTCGAATTAGCGAACGGATCAGGGAAAGACTCCTCGATCAATTTCAATCTTCAACAGATTCTTTCAAACAACGTCCAGCTCGATAATGTCAGAAAATTCGAAAAGCTTCGATGCACAAGCAGCGAGCCGAGAAAGAAAACAAATATATACGCAGGGAAAAAAGAAAGAGAAAGAGGACACGTAGTAACGACGTGTACACCAATCCCAAGGGGTCCTCTCGTGGGGCGGTAGTTTTCGGGGGTGCGCCACCCCTGCCTGCACCAACGGAATATACAGTACGTAGAGCGTGTAACGTCCCACTGTCAGCCGACCGTTCCACCCTTAACACAAACGGCTCGGGGCACACACAAAGCCACACGAACGAACGCACACCCACGGACAGTCGGGGGGTCTGCCCTATGATTTGTAGCGGCACTATAATGCCTCAACTACCCGGCACCCTGACTCACCCTCTCGCGTCCCACCCTCCTCAACGTCTCCCATCTACCAACACAAGTGTAGACGGGAAGTAGGGAACACGCAGGCGATACGACTGTGTGAAACACGCACCGAGTCCACCCTTCTCGGCCCTTGGCCGGTGTAGCAACACGTAGCACCGTTTTCCGTTGAAAAACAGGGAGCAAGAGACTCGAAAGAGGGTTACGAAGCACGAACGAAAGACGAAGAGAACGATTCACCCACGGTATATATTCTATGCTTTTTCTCTTCCTTTCGATGGTAATATTTTTATAATAATTTTCAAGCGTAATTTTCCTGTTTTGGTATAACACAGAATCGTGTCCCTCTGTGTTAATTGCACTT